ATACTCGATGACGAAGGTCATTTATGTAAAGTAAGTAAAGACTAGTTCCTAATACCAAAGCCTGAGATACCTAATTAGGACATCCTGTAGCGTGAGAAATAGTGAGGTTCATCCTTGCCCTGAAAAGTCGTATGAACATAAGAATTCATGATCGCTCTTCAAAATAAAAGTAACCAAGAAAATATCCCCTTTATGTGAAGAAACTAGAATCCCTAAGAAATATCTGGCTATCCTGGTTTGTGGTAGGGCTAACCATATATCGCTAAAAACCATCCACTAACAACACATCAATTAAGAATACTTTATAATAGAGTAGAGATTGTATCGGGTTTGTGTATTGGAAGCTTCAAACGTTTGCAATGAACTCATGATTAAAATCCTTGTTTTTCAAGATGAAGACTGCTTTCAGATACATAAGTATTGGACACAGTTCCACACTGTTTAACCTTAATTTACTGAAAGTTCTTGATTCACTTCAATATTTATTGTTTTCAGACATTAAAAACTAAATATTTAGAGTCTGTCAGAAAGTGCCACTCCAGTTATCTTCATTAGTAATTCTGTAGCTGCATTGAATATCTAGAACATTTAGTTCCTATGTATCTAATGTACAAAAATTTTGAAGCTAGTTCCGAAAATGTAAACGGATTTTGAGATACGATCCACTCATAAGAAGGCTTTTTTCTTAGGGCTTTGGAACAACGAGAAAGCATAAAATCACTCCTGTCTTCCTTTATAGTCTGAGGACACATTTTTCTCCCGATACTACTAATATAATATTGGGAAACTTTGAACCAGTCGAAATTCTTAATCACATAAAATCATTCAAAATTAGGTAGATTGTGCAACATATACACTACTTAACGTCGTTTCCCCAAAAGTGTAACTGATCTTGTCCAGCCAAAAAAATACTTCGCGTGCTAGGACATAACACAGAACATAGTGCGTGAGGTATAGAAAAGACAAAAGTGTGAGATGGATTTTGCCGACGACTCAGCAAGTACGTTGAAGACAATTAAATTTAACAGTCGTAGAAATCGATAACGGTCAACGATAGCATGAGATTAAGATATTTCGACACAACCAGAAGAGCTGGTATAGGAACTAGTATCCATTTTATTAAGGCTAGTTTGAACCTGCCTTACTTAAAGGCATAACATAAACATACTTTACTCTGGAATACGCATGTTGGACATAACCTCTGCATTAGATGTACATAAAAGCCCAGTAATCAAGTGATTGTCGCTTGCCTAAAACAAGCCAATGCCATGAATAAGATGAAATCACTAAGCGTTAGTATCCAGCTCTATTGAATATAAGATGCCGTAAGCCGAATAATAAACAACACCATAATCATAAGAAGGAACAATTCATTTTGTTGGTCATATTGCGCTGGAGGCTCAGGAACAGAAGAAACAACTCATGTATATTGAGCATGGACAAACCTTTATATTTACTACAAAGAGCGCCAATTATTCGTTGTTTTATGGCCAATACAAGACGAATATATCGTAAACAACAACAAATAATTACTAATGACCCTGAAAAGTAGGGGAATACGAAATCAAACTTCCAACTTTGTTGCGCAGACATAATGATAATTCTGTCTCCGAAACACCTCGTTTGTATTCTGGTGAATATTCCTTGTATTTAGACTTTTAAAGTATATATCTTCATGTCTAAGAATACTCAGGGACTGAAATATCTATAAACAGAGTTTATCGAAGGAAAGGCCATACAGTAGAACTTTTGAGAACCATCCGGACTGAAGTACATATTGAAAAGTCTTCGAAATAATCACCTGTGAATGATCTACTTGAGTGAATAAGTCACAATTCCTTAGAAGTAAAATTCGTCGAAGTTGCAATCATCTAAATCAGTCACTGTGGCGTATCACATCATTACACAATGAATGGGATTCCCCTACACAAGTTAATCACATACAACGATTTATAAGTAATGACATAAAACTTCACACAGCTGCAAAATCGAGACGCGATGACTTGACCATGCAGACATTGTCATCTTACAAATCCTTTTGCTCTTTGTACTAAGTATATCATTCTCTTCGTACACTGAATGTTTTCTTCAACAGAACATCACCGACTACCACGATAGGAAAAGTCAGTACAAACACTGATTTGACCTGATGCAAGATATTGGGGTTAGGTAGTCAGACTATAACGAGCGCACAAAATTGGAATAGGTGTGCTTTTCTGGTAAGATAGATAAGTTAATTACTACCGGCCTTGACATAAGTCCAACAACACTCCGATTCAGCCATGTTGTGGTTGAATATAGATTGATAGAAAGAGCTCCTACTTTTTAATGCACAAGTCATTAAGTAAGCCGAACACCTACGGAATCGCTCCAGTTACTAACGTACAGTTTCATAATTTTGCATTTGAGTTTTTAGAAATGGTTCTTTAACATGGAGAGTTGAATATCTCTAAGTGGTTCCGCCGATTATAATTATCTCGTCAAGATTTATCTCTAAAGTTTGAAGCTCTCTAAGATGACGCCCAAAACTTTTATGCGGAGGTTCTTTATTGTTCTACCTTCATGTAATGTGCTATCCATGTTATCTAGTGTAGTATTGCAATTGTGACTAGGTAGGATGAAGGAGGTTTTGGAAACCTTGCTAATATTAACCCCTTCATCTTCTGAACTGTATAAATAGAAATCTTACTGAATATATTTTAACTACATACGATGTGTACAACTGTTTTCTGTGTCCTTCATTCAGACGTTTTACCTGAATTGAGAAAAAGTATTCCGATAATATCTTTCTAGCTGCACTAAAGTATGTATATTGATGACGATTTTAAGCAGTCCAAACTTCTTGATACCCAACATTCTAGCGAAACCCTAACACAGCATATTCTTCGATATATAGAGGAATTCCTCAAAGAAGAGATACTTGGTGTATCTTAGATTAACATTGAAGTTCTTATCTATAGCGGAAGATATACCTGTGCCCCTCCAAAATTTCAAGGTAGATGTCTTCGCCACTTAGCATTAGCATTCTGAATATAACTAAGTCATAAGGGGATACAAGTTTGCTTGACTAGCAATATAATTGTCGGAGAAGCTTTAAAACGTAGCGATATCCTCGGAGCAGTATATATTCTCCACGTCTTTTTTTCATTTTGATATGTTGGAGACTTGACAAAACAATCACGCGTCACGGAGTATGTTCAGATGTCTAATGATCTTCCCAAAACTCCACTCTGTAGCTACTTAAGTTCGCACCTGAAGAGTGTTTTGTAGTTCATTCATTTCAATTTTTTAAAGAAGCCTATATATCCGTTCTTTACAATCCATCAATGATCGATTACTAGTATTCATTTGTCCCAAGTGTACAAAATATATCATTCTACTTTTGATGGTCAGAATGTGTTAGAGAAATTCCAGGCTAACGTGTAATTATAGTTTGACAATTTGATAGTTCCCATCGACAGATATGTTTCATTTCTGCTCCAGTTTGCGGCTCTGTACAGAAATACATTACTTTAAAGTGAAAAGTAATCAGAGATAGAAGAGCAGATTACATGTACACACTAATTTAGTACTCTGGGATGAGTTTATTCTGAGCCTGAAGTTTCAAGAATTTAAGGACCTAAAAACCTTCGGCTTCTCTGCGACTTGTAATCGTAAGGGGTTTGCCCACGATTTCATTGCTTAAGTTACCTCTATTGTCGAGATCCGTCAGAGATGCCAAATGGTAGGTTGATCTCCATCAAATGGAAGCTTATTGACCCTGTTTTACGAATCAGGGTACCTGAATCCATTGTATTTAAAAGGAAATGATTCTTATTCCTTATTAAAGTATATGAAAGCTTCTGTCATTTTCCATAGCTTTTATTAGAAAGTTGCGACAGATTGGTCTATCACGGATTGATATTAGTTACTGATGCCATTTAATTTGTAATTCACTGTTACACTTGTAGCTTCGTATGTGATAGACTTCAGCTGTAAACAAGTATTGTGACTTTAATACTGGACGAAGAGATAATTATGGATCGATTAGTGGATTGAGTGAGATGGATTTCACAACGCCCTATCATTTCAAAACCGCATTCACTCGGCTTTCAGAAATCACCTACCAACAGTTATAGACATCTTTTACACTACGAGACAAAACAATCATATAAATTATTGTGTTCATCAAATTTTAGTTACTACATTAATTATATATTACGGACTTATGGGAATGTTCCTAAAGTAAATTAGTGCTGTGAGTATTGAAACAAATACTAGACACTCAACTGTTATTGGTATAAAGTTTAAAACTAAACCACTAGCAAGTTGGTGAAATGATCCTATCACAGCGTATTATAAACGCTGTTTCGCATAAAATTCATGATCAGTACTTCTATTTTTAACCACTCAAATATAATGTACTCTTGTGTGTTATACCTAACAGTTTGATAGAAATTATACTGGTTTTCAAAGATGATAGGGCGTCAGTTTTGCTATTCGTTCATAAGTTAAATATGAAGCTCGCAACCTTGATTGGCCGTCAGAACATATTTTAAGGACAGTGAATCTAAGAATCCATTGGCCTAAAAATTAGTGGCAACCTCAATGTTTATTTGCTGTTTTGTACGCAATAAAAACTATCCAATTCCTTACTTTGCCATTCTTGTTTGCTGAATAATTTAAGCCACTGAAAATCCCAGCAAGTGATTATCACCTTATTCTCGACCTATCACTGATACGTGCATGTGAGTATGACCCAATAAGCGAGAATCAAGTAGAAGTAGATGCACCAATGGTAAATCTAATCAAGCTAACATTCTTTTGACCTACCAATCATTCAGTATTCGTATATTATTCGTTCATTTTCGAGGTTTTTAACTTACTTTAAGCGCTTACAGCAATTTTTGTGTTAGCGCTTGTTAGAATGAGGTGGAATTCATTATTCGCAACCCGCCCAAAAGAGTTGGTTCCGGAGTTTACGTATTTGGGGTATATCGTGAAATTAGACGTTTTCTGTAATGATGTGAGTTAAATATTGTCTGTAGATAACTCCTACTTGCTTTGTGCCTGTTTCTTATTGGACTTAGCTTTCTTATGTGTTTATGACAAGCTCTCGGGTATAGTTCAATTACACTAAGTAATGAGGCCGTTATTTCGTGAAGTAAATAACTTCTGATTTAATTCGCTCAAGGGATTAGATTATTTGGTTGTGTTTCATGACTCGCGACCTTACACAACATACCCTAGTTATGGTCTCATTATTCCAAATTTATTACACGTTATTTTTGCTGAGAAATAAATAAGTTTCTGTTCTGACATTTGACCTTTTTACGCCTGATTTCTCTTGGTTTTACGCTGATTTATGCTGGTAGTCTATTTGCATCAGTTTTCATGTTTGTCGAATTCAATTCCGAAACTAGTTCTAAGGGTGCTACTAGTCTTAAATCTCATATACCGACCAAATCTTTTTGGGTCTCATGTTAACGTAAGAATAAATGAGTTTCGCTGTATTTTTACTGTCAGTTTTCATCGTATTTGTTAGTGGTCATAAAGTTCTGTAGTCTCAACGAAGATTTTGTGTGAATAATGATATGAGCTGTACAATGTTGTTCCGAGATCCACTGCTTTATTTTCATACCAATAGACAAACATAAGCATAGAAAGTTCACGTATGTAACAACGTCGTAGTAGTACGTATATTTGTCTATACGTCGAATATGTTGCACCGCTATATGCTCCGTGATGCTTCGGGAATATGAAAATTTGAATAAAGGTCATAGGCACATATCCTGCCACATCTGCAAAGCAGTGCTTACATACTAAAAGACCATCCAGTTAGCACTAAAATTGGGCGTATAGTAGTAATTAGGTTGAGCAGTTTAATGTTTTCAGTGAAATAACAAGTGCATGCGTTACATCTGTAGTGAGCTATGCTGGTCAGCGTACAAAACTGTCTAAAGATAGTCTGAGACATAATTGCTTTATGATTTAGGTTTCCTTGTTATGATCCATTAGCAGTCAACAACTTGGCAAATATGCATCAGTCCAAGCTGCCACACACCAACACAGCAAGATGAAATATGAGGTAATGTTTGAATTATTTCTTGCAAGAAGAGGCAATGATTAGTTTTGTAGCTCAGTATCCAAGGAAAGAAAATAAATGCATCTGTCCTGGTGTGAGTATTTCTAAGGCATGCTACACAACAACTGGTCACAATTATCGCACACATCCTAACTAAATAGTCTATACTTACCAACATAACTCAGTTCACTAGTCGATGACTATGTGGACTGGCGTTACTTTTCCATTTGGTCATCCCTAGCTTTCATCCTACTCATACGCCGATCAATATAGTAATGGTTGGAATTTTATCAATTTATTTAAACACATAAGCTTTGGTAAAGAAAGTACCTATTAGATATGCTCCACAAGTCACTTGGTTTGCGTGGGCTGTGATGCTGCCCGGGTGCCCAGACCGAAACAGGTGATTTTCTTAGGGGAGCCTTTGGCCCAAAGGTCGAGTCCACCAAGCAATGGAGCAACGTGAGGAAATACAGTCCTGTGGTAGCCAGTTGGTTCGTACGCCATTTGTTCTCTCAGAATACTGGAGCTCATTAGCACCATTGCCTTAAGTGGATCCTCCATATGCACCGACCTCATTATAATGCGGAGGATGACATAGCTCAAAATGTTTTGCAATAGCGCAGGTTCATCCACTCTTTGCGTCCTCCCAAATTCTAATCATATGAATTCTTCATATCCCTTCTTTTTTCCTCTTTCCAAATTTATTTCACTGGATTATACTCTTTGAATAACATCTTCAAACCCTCATGTTTTCGATTACTGCTTTTAGTCTTACTACCTCTACCACTATGGGATTTGAATCGACAACTGTATCTCTGTGCTAATGTGGTATGGCAACTCGAACTGATGTACGTACGTACGAAGTTCCACGTTGTCATTGACTGACTGAGTGCTTATTCTATGAAATTGAGTAATTTCTGGTAGATCCGTTACCATGTTCTGTAATAATATGAATTTTATTCCTGTCTGCTTGGATTCGTTGAAAATTATGTGACTGCCTTATATCAAGTTACTGGAAATGCAGAGCATAACCAATAATATCGTTTTAAGCATACCCTTCCCATTCGTCAGGTTCTAGAACACAGGCATACTTATGGGCGTCCGACAATGGTGGTCTTCCTTGACTTAAAAGCAGCATTTGACTCTGCGGACCGAGAGGTTCTGTGGCAGTGTCTGTCATTGAAAAGCGTACCTCAGAAGTACATAAACCTTGTGAAGGCTCTTTACTCGAACACTACTAGTCGAGTCAGAGCTTATGGCGAACTGTCATCTGCTTTTGCAACCTCAAGTGATGTCCGTCAAGGCTGTTCACTTTCTCCACTTTTTGTTTAACTTCATCATAGACCTACTGATGGAAATAACGTTCTCGTCGACTGAATTCTCGGGCATTGATCTCTTTCCAGGAGGTCCGCTTATCGACTTGGAATACACAGATGACAGTCCTGTTTGGTGAAGACGCTGATAAAATGCAGAGTCTTTTGATAGCACTGAGCAACAATGCTTGGATGTTTGGGATGCGCTTCTCTCCCTCTAAATGCAAGTTGTTGCTCCAGGACTGGCCTGCGTCAACACCTGAACTAAGGATAGGGAGTGAAGTATCGAACGCGTTGACAACTTCACTTATCTTGGAAGTCTGATCAGTCCTAATGGCTTGGTGTCTGACGAAATCTCAGCACGGATTCGAAAAGCTCGCTTGGCCTTTGCCAACTTACGTCATCTATGGCGAAGGCGAGATATCCGTCTATCAATTAAGGGACAAGTATACTGCGCGGCAGTTCGTTCTGTTTTACTATACGGCTGCGAAACATGGCCTTTAACAGTAGAATATACTCGTAAGCTACTAGTATTTGATCACAGGTGCCTTAGAAATATTGCTCGCATCTGCTGGAATCACCAGGTAAGTAATAGTGAGGTTAGACGCAGGGTACTATGGAATGATGGTAAATCAGTTGATGAGGTTATGAATCTTCATCTACTAAGATGGTTGGGCCACGTGTTGCGTATGCCTGAACACCGATTACCACGGCGCACAATGCTACCCGGTGTTAGGGATAATTGGAAAAAAGTTAGGGGCGGCCAAACCAGAACGTGGCATCAGTGCTTGAAGTCACTAACTTCTGGTCTGAGCCATGTTGGTAGATTCAAGCTGCCTGGTTGGGGTCCGCGTGACTATCGTAACCAATGGTTGGAGACTCTTGGTCACATGGCTCACAATGGCGTCGGTGTATACACTCTGTCTTCCTTCAAACTAAGAGATTAAAATCGCTTCATATCTTTCTTTCTACGAACTAATTCTTCCTGTACTATATCCTTATATGCAATCTTTCTTCTATATATTACCACCATTGAATTAACTACTTCTATGAATCCGGTGTTCATCTTGTTGTGCTAATGCGGTATGGCAACTTGGACCGATGCATATACGTGCCTGGTCCTACGTTTCAGCTGACTGACTGACATACCCTTCCCTATGGACTATTATAAAAAGATATTCTCACGAAGGTATATAAATAATTCATGATCACTTTAGCAAATTCGTAACGTATACTTTCTTGCATTAGTGATGTGTTGACTTTTTATTATAACCATATTCATATTAGACAAGTTTGTCTTTGTTGTTTGTGGCGTTTGTTTCCAAGTTTACGCACCTTTAATTTTCGCATTTGTGTTACTTCAGGGACGGTTATATACACGCTGGTCAAGTCCTTCCAGCCCAAACTATTCTACAGCCATTGCAACAGCCTTTGATAATGGATGCAAACGGTGCTGCTCAACCAACTACTTTCGCCGTCCAGGCTAGTGATGGTAGCTTAATCCCAGTTCAACTAGCTACGTCTGCTGGTGGGGGTCAGGTTATCATGTTCCTTCCAAGTGCAGCTCAGCAAACAATATACACAACTCAGCCTATAGTGTCTGCTGCAACCACTTCTTTGGACGCTAATCTTACATCGGCTCAAGGGCAGATTATAGGGACAACAGTTGAAGACGAAACCCACATACTTCAACAATTACAGCAGTCTTCGCAAGTCCAGGTTATTCATCAGACCCAGTCTGGATTATCTCAAGCCGTTTCAAACACTCAAGTTGTCCAGGTTTCTAGTCCACAACCTGAAACTGCTATCGGTCAGCAGGGAATGTCCACACAAGCATCCTCAACAATATCACCTGGTCTTACTCCTGGTGGCGAAGAACCTCTTTACGTTAATGCTAAACAGTACCACAGGATTCTAAAGCGTCGCCAAGCACGAGCGAAATTAGAGGCACAAGGCCGCATTCCGAAGGAAAGACGGAAGTATCTTCATGAGTCCAGACATAAGCATGCTATGAACCGCATACGAAGCTCTGGTGGTCGGTTCTTTTCTGTGCCGTCTTATTCTGATGCAAATAACAGTACTGCCTCGACCTCTTCCAGCAATTCATCAGCGATAACGTCCTTCCAAACAAATGAGGATTGTAAAACTAAGATTTTGTCTAACTGATGTGAGTTTATTCTCCTTTATATACTGCCTACGTTATTATTCGCATTTCATAGATTATGTGTATGGGACTCCCATTTGTGCAAAATATCTGTCTACGGGTCTTTTCGTACAACTGTTACTTACTTACTTACACTTGTTACTCCCAATGGAGCATAGGCAGCCGACCAGCATTCTCCAACCCACTCTGTCCTGGGCCTTCTTTTCTAGTTCCATCCAAATCTTGTTCATTTTTCTCATGTCTATCTCCATTTCCCGGCGTAATGTGTACTTGGGTCTTCCTCTCCTCGTTCGGCCTTGAGGATTCCATGTCAGGGCTTGTCTTGTGACGCAGTTCGGTGCTTTCCTCAATGTGTGTCCTATCCACTTCCAGCGCTTCTTCCTCCGCTGGGATCTGATTTGTTCTCTCCCACAGTAGGTTGTTGCTTATAGTGTCCGGCCAGCGGATCCGAAGTATTTTACGTAGACAACTGTTAATAAACACCTGTATCTTTTGGATGATGGCTTTCGTAGTTTTCCAGGTTTCCTCCCCATACAGTAGAACTGTCTTGACATTTGTATTGAAAAGTCTGACCTTAGTGTTGGTTGCCAATTGTTTTGAGTTCCAGATATTCTTCAGTTGTAAATATGCTGCTCTTGCTTTGCCAATCCGTGCCTTCACATCTGCATCAGATCCACTGTGTTCATCGATGATACTGCCCAAATATGAAAAGGTTTTTACATCTTCCAAAGCTTCTCCGTCAATTGTGATTGGATTGTTATATGCTGTGTTGTATCGAAGAGTCTTGCTTTTCCCTTTGTGTATATTGAGACCTATTGCTGCTGAGGCTGCAGCTACACTGGTTGTCTTCTCCTGCATTTGTTGTTACGTATGCGATAGAAGAGCCAGATCATGTGCGAAGTCTAGATCATCCAATTGCATCCTAGCTGTCCACTGTATCCCGTGCTTCCCTTCAGATGTTGATGTCTTCATGATCCAGTCGATCACCAGGAGAAAGAGAAAGGGTGAGAGTAAGCAACGTACAACTGTTGCTAAGTTGTAATTTCAGATGTATTCCAATATTGAATTTAGAAATGGTCTCAGGTCTTGTCAGTTTGAGGTATTTGCAATGTTAACTAATGGATGTAGGGCCAATAAGCGTCTTTTCTATCTTCAACTATTCGTTCATTAATATGAAAACAGAAGCTAAATCTCACTGAATAGTATTTACATCAGTTTCAACCCTTAACATTTTTTAAAGGAAGATGTTCCGTGATTTCACAATACTATTTTCCCATTTTCATGTATTTAACCGTTATACAAGTAAATTGCAGTTTTTTTCGCAAGATATTAATCGTCTTTATGTTATTACATTCCCAGATCCCTGATTACACGCTGCTAATTACCCCATGGATTCAACTTTTTGACAATCTGGAAAATGACCCCCCCTTAGAGATTAAAATATCTTAAATTATTACTTGTATACAAGCTGGAGTACTAAGTATATTCATATTATTGCCTGGATAAACGTTGGTAATGATTATACGACTTTTGGAGGTGCCCATATTGATTATCACGTCATTATTATCATTGTTATCATAACCTCAGTTTTGTACACATCTATTTTCTATATGGTATTTCCTATATTCCTCGCATGCTTGTCTGTAAATATTTATTACTTGAAACTTTTTCCTATAAAGTTGGATCTTTTGTTTTAACTTTACTGTCTTTATAATTACGATACTAATGATCTAATTTACACAAAGATAAATACACTCGTTTTTTTCTTTTCTATTAAAAAGTATTTTTCGAAATAGTTTTGTTTTTTATGCATTCTACTAACATTATTTAAATCGACGTGTTTTGTATCCCAGGTCCTGGCTAGTGATATCGGTCGACATGGTCCGTTAGGTTTGATAACGTCAGTTTACCTACCATGGGCTTTATTGGCCTTTCAGAATTCATCATTAACTGTGCTGGCGAAAGTGACATCGATAAAGTGCAACTCGATTATTACATTTTTGTGAGATAAAACCGGATATAATTAGCATAAATGGATAGCACAGTAACACTGGGTCCCATTAGGCTAAGTAATGAGAGTTACTAGATTACATCTCTTTTTGTGTAAACATCATTAAGGGCCCTAAAACTGCATTAATTGTTAAAACCTATGATATTTTAAACCTGTCGTTGGATATTTCAAATCTAAATATTTTCTGTAGTCTTGAGTATTTTACATAATCTTGTCATGAATTTGTCGCGCAGATTAGTAATTTCAGTTTGCATAAACGTTTTAACACCATTTTGTAAGGTTATATGTGAAATCATGTGCCTTGGTTGGTTAATATGGTAGCAGTTAGGCTCAAACTACTGGCTTTTAGTTCCAACCACTTAGGTAACGGATGCTAGATTCTAACTCGCCGACAAATCGATCAGAATGCTCTCCTACAGATAGTGACTAGTTTGTCCATTCTCCGGTGCAAAAGTAGTTGTCTTATTCCTATTTATCTGCCTTTGTGTCAAAAATGGTATTTAGTTCTTGACTCTGGGAGTTATAGTACCATTGACTAGGTATAAAATATACTCTTGATCTTCACAATAATTGTACAGGCTTTCATTTGATCTGTCTGTAGTGATATAACAACTTGAACGGATGCATATTCGTGCTGAGTTTTATATTGCTTGGAACCTACTGATACCTATGCACAATGTAACCACATGATCTGTGTTAGTTTGGGTCAAAAGCACGATAATCTCTGGACTGGTGGTTGTGCACCCGGATTATTTGTACTCACCATTCAGTTAGTGATAGTCGTAACAATGGTTGAAGACTCATCATTAGGCATATTAAATCAGTCTTGTACTAACAGCGTCTTTTTCTATTGGGATTATACGAAGTGTTTAAAACGGCCGGCTGATACCTAGATCTTATGGGTTTTGGATGAAGAATCTCGTTAAAATGATTAAAACAACGCGGGGAAGTTGTCACATCCCGAATTCGACCAATTTAGTCAGAACATCCTGAACTGCAGATCTATATATATATATATATATGCGGTGGTGGGCATGTAAGGATTTGTCAATCTGACTGGTCCCGGAGGGCCATACATTTGCTCATAGACTTGTGTAGCTTGGAGAGGAGACCACTAGTTTGAAAAACATCCTTTCACAACTGTGAATAGAGCATCCTTCAGTCTTATAACATAATCCCGATATAACTCCAAAGGTGACTCGATTATGTCTGTTAGGTAGAGATTAATAAAGTAGACTTTTATGTCTCATGAATTGCATTTGGCCACATAATTAGTGGGTAAATATTTACCGTGATCTAAAATAAAAGGGAAACACAGTTACTCTGTCGGACTGATGTATTATCGACTGTAGTCTCGACTTCTGTGTCCCTCGAGGGAAAACCCATAATCCCAACTCCATTTGTTATTATCATGGTCATTACTCTACAATACTTCTGTTATTTTATTGTTGAAGCTACACGAGTCTCGGTACGACAGTTAAAATGGTTATACTTTGGCTAGCGGTGAAATAAAGCAAGTGTCCTGTATCTCTTGAAAATTATTAGTTTCATATAGGTCCTCAAGTTTCACGATGCAAAATTAAATGCGGTTTAACTATGTGGGTAGTATCGTCACTTTTCATACAACCGTAACAGCCTAACGCAAATACCTGTGGACATGTAGTTTAATGGGTAATACCAAAGGTTCAATCAGTTCGACCTGTCAGTTCAATACTAACCATGTTGAAAGTAAGCTGCTTTTCTAACAATTTCTATACGTCTGATATGAACATTGTACTAGAAAATGATTTGTCCTCTGAATGTTGAATTCCGTGCGGAACTATGGGTAATTAAGGTAACACAGTGATTACGATTCCAATACTTAGTCATAAAATGTTAATAATAATAAGTTGCATAAAATCTGCATATTGTGTTTAACAAAAGATTAGACGCAAAATTAATATAATGCTGTAAGAAGACAATTTATTTGTAGTAAAACATGCATTCGCGAAGTCTATCCTGAACAGTCATGTCCTATGTTAACTTGTCAAGGCATACTGTCTATGAACGAAGGTAAAAAGACAGTGATAATTGAATGGATAGGTGTATATGATGAGACCATAATTTATGGATGACCTTTGGACAACACTCAAATGACCTGATTGTTTTGTCCATAAATTATAGTCTCGTCGCATTCATTTATAGCATTTTCATATCCATCATTAACAGGCATCATGCAAAACTAGTATATATTGAAACAAACATTCTAGCATTCTCTCGATGAGTTTATATCGAATAGTGTAGTGAGCGAGGAAACTGATAAACCAAAGCTTTAAAAACTGACTCAGACGTAATGGTCCAAACTTTGCTGCTTAGTACTGAACCTCTTCTTAAGTAGTGGTACAGACTGGGTTTAAAGATGGACATCAATTTACAAGTAACAGTTCACCATTGCCAAACATTATAGGACTGAAAGATTTAGATGTAATTAAAAGTCATGACCATGAACATGCCACAGGGATTCGGAGTTTGACAACGCTTTAACCAGTAACACCTTCTAATACGAAGCGCACCCACCAAGTGAAATCAAAAGACAGAAGAGAGGAGATCGAAGATATATTTGATAAGCTATCAATATATCGAGGATCTTATGCACTAATCTGGCTAGCGATTGCGGTAGATGTTGAGCACGGTATTCCCACACGTGATCTGGTGCGGATGCTTGACCGAGCGCCTTCAGCTAGATGAGTCTATTAAAACTAATGTGGTCAGCATCCAATGTCGAAAACTTACAGAGCTATTTATTTTGGGGATTTATTTACCGCTACAACCATAAATTAGTAGAACACTGTGGTGTATCATACCGCATTGCTTTGGTTAAGAAAGGTTTCTATGTACTCGTCTACGGGAGATCTCATTTTGAATATTGTATCCAGGTGGCTAGCCATGATGTGATTGCAGATAAAGGTACCCTTGATAGTACCCAAAGAGTAAGTACCAAGCTAGTGACGGAGCTTTTCATTCTCTCTTACGTCAAACGATTAGAACGCTTAAACGTTTTGCTCGTGTTATACAACCCAACGCGACAATGTTTGGGTGCTCCGTATCCTGAACAATGTTTTGAGCGTTTACATGTATTAACGTTTCGCTACGTCTAGGACCAACTATCCCTTACTCTATTCAGGAAAGACTAAAAACGACCTAATTAATATTTGTGTCATTTAATCTTTTCCTCAAGTATTTTAATTGATGAGTATTACTGATGAAATAAAGGTCCTAATAAATCAACCTAGTTGTTTCACAACTTTTGTATGGTTTTGCCTAATTGAAAGTTCCCATGTCGAAATTCGGTAAACAAATAAAGAATTTTCACTATATTAAGACATTTTGAGCAAACAATTGCGCTAAATGTTCCCAACGAGTACCTGAAGTATAGCGCATGGCTCAGTGCAGTGAAGACAAATGTTGATTTTATAAAAGAGTGCATAGAAACCAACTTGTATCCAAAATTATATTAGAGATCTTTACGTTGCTCGGGAGTTCGACCAAATGGAAGGACTCTCAAACGCTACGCGCCTAATCGAATCGACTCTCTCAACTCATATATTGCCGAGATGATGAAGATTTCAACGAGAGAATTTACGCGGTAGAAGAGCTCCCTGATAAATTAAGAGAACAATATCTGAACTATATTGAGCTGGTTGTTAATTCAAGAGGAGAAAAATCTAGACAAATAGATTCCAGAAGTAAAATTTCCATCTAATTCAGATCAGTGCGTACGCAATTTTATTAGTGTTATTCTTGATAAAACTGAGTTAGAAGCGTTATCATTAGGCCCTAAGTTTTGTGACTTCAAGAAAACGGATGACGTGGCAGACAAGATTGAAAAGCAACTAATAGATTCATTGAAACAAATTAAACACCTAAGGGTTTTTTTCAGAAAAATTGTTTGAAATGTTGAAACCTACAGGAACGATTACACCAAGGCTATACGGTCTGCCAAAATTACTTAAATTGGCTTGCCACTTCGACCCGTTTCAGATATGAATAATTCAGCCTATCATATTATAGCAAAATGGTTGGTGCAAAATTTTAAACAATTGAATGAATAAAATGTTAAATATAGTGTCAAGGATTCCTTTGAATAACTTCATGATATCATTAGATGTATCGTCCTTATTCACTAACATTCCACTACTTGAAACAGTGGATTTTATTTGTTAAGAACTAACAGAGAGATGCACAGAAACCGCAGTTCCTGCATCCGAAATAAAACAGTTAATTCTTAGATGCACGATGAATGTCCAATTCCGATTTAACAACGAATATTATAGACAAATAGATGGGGTAGCTATGAAGTCACCATTTGGCCATCTACCGACGGACATTTTCCTTGCAAAACTGGAAAATGGACCATTTAACATCTTGTTATCGCTATATAGATGATACTTTCATAGTA